AGCGGCCGGTCGACGACCCGACCCCCCCGCCGTTACTCCCTGACCATTGTGCGTGGCCAGTGTGGGGCGAGCGACTGAGGATCTTCGCGGCCAGAGTCGGAATGCAGGAGAGGGGGCTGCAGCCAGATCCGCGAAATGAAAAAATCCCGGGAAAATCTCTTCGGAGGACGCTGAATGGAGAGCTCACTGGTCGGCTCAGGTGACCTGTCCGACCTTGTCGCACCTCCTCCGAGGTTGCTCCCGACCAGAGGCCGAGGGCTCGAGACCCTGGTGGTGCTGTCCTCTGTGAGGAATCGGAGACTGCACAAGGAGAGGCATTCAGAGGCTGCTGCAGGGGGATATCAGAGGACAGTCACAGTGGCATGGGGTTGAATTGCTTCCATATTCCGCGATTCCACGTTCCGATAACAATCCGTATTGAGAGTCGGACATGCGGATCGTTCGCAGAGCGGAAGACCCAAATGGACGAAATCCTCAAGTCGAGCCTCGCGCCGTCAGCACAGTAACACCGGGAATCGACAACGGCTTCTCCATTAGGGCAGAGATCATTGATTGGCGGCTTGCACTCCCGGACGAGAAGCCTCACCGAACGATCCTCTCCTTCGGGAGATGAACAAAGGAGCGCGGTCTCCAGCGTCGAGCCCTGCCTCCAGATGCCCAAGGAGCTGAAGCTCTGCCGTCTTTGGATCGGGAAGACGATCGGGAACTTCGATCTGATTCGACTCCGCTAGAGGTGAAATCTCTCAGGTCATCTCTCGTCCCTTATGAAGTTTTTATTGATCCAGAGTCCATATTGTTGTGAGCTCTTGCGCCGTCGCTGTGTCGGATACTTTCATCGATCTCGGAGATCTGATCCTATAGTCTGTGAATATTCCTGCCCGCAACGGACAAGCTCGCCTTCGGATGCTTGAAAAGGAATGTTCCGTTTCCCGACGCGCGATAGACGGGAAATCATACGGGAATCAATAGCGGCGAAGCAACCGAGACGAGAGGCGGCGACATACGAAGAAAGGAAGAGCCTCGCGGACTAGAGAAAGCCAATGGCGAAGTTAACTGGGCGAAAAATGTGCTGGCTCCCGAATCCCAAGTAGGACGGTGGCGATGACGGTGACGACGACAGTCCTAATCCTTGACTCGTATCAGGCTGCGGCTCTCTGGCCAGACGACCGTTCGGAGGCTCGGGCTGTTACGTTGGAAATAGAAGGGAAGTGGTCGCGGAGGTCGCCGAGAGAAATAAAAAACAAGGAACATCGAGCTAGGCGAGGGGCAACGCAGGACGAAAATTTATCGATGCGTTTTGTCCGTGCCTGGGCCATCACTCGGCCACCTGCTCGCAGTCCCTGACGTTTTCAATTTCCGAACGTGCGTGCCCGATCCGAACCTCATCGGAAACAACAAAGCGAGCAGTTCGCATCTCGAGACCGTTCCATAAGCACATCGTGCACCTCCATTAAATTCAGAATTGAATCAGCGCCAGCAACGTCGGTTCGCGCATCGACACACAATGCGTTCGCGGCCCCAATCTCCTTCCAGAAAGGCAGTCGGCACATTCTCGTTGAGAATATCGCGCAGAGAATTTCATCAGGCCGATATCCGACGCCTGCAGGCTCGTAAGAGATTCAGCTCCCTCGGCCGATATTTCTCCAGAAAGTCGACTTGGTCGCTTGGCTGCAGGTCGTCCATTATCGATTGCGCCTGAGTGTCTGAGTGCGACAGTGTTGTTTCGACGATGTCGTTCGAGCTGCTACTATCGGTCTGTTCGTAAGAGCGTTCAATCATGTTCCTGTTCGGGGCCTAGCTGGACGCTATTTGTGCCTCGGCGAAGCATTCCGAGGGCTCAAACGGCTTCTCCGGCGCATCGTTCCACTCAACGCCTGCATACGCGCAACCGGAAGCCATCGGGAGCTTTCATTCAGACTTGAATAGATCCCGGAACGTTCGCGTGGTTTACCCCGACTCTCTTCAAACGATCTCCTCAGCGCGATTATTCTCATTCTGACCTTCGCCCACTCCACACGGCTTCTTGTACTCGGGTCTTCTTCGACCTGTTCGCCTTTATATTCATGCCATCGCTTTTTCTTTACCCTCTTCCCCTGCTAGCGGCCTCCTCGTAAGGAATTCGCGACCACTACTCCCGCCTCTCGCTTGATTACGCAGGTACGTGTCTAGATTGGAAGTTTCAAGCCGGCCCGGATTAGACCGACATTCAGCCTGAATGAACAGGCGAGCGGAAGAATTAATTGGCGAGCGGATCAGCAGACGGCGACGTCGACACGCTGACCACATGACGACCACTTGCGATGGGACGAGCAGAGCGGTCGCATCGATACAGGAAAAACTCTTATTCCTTGATCCAAGCCTCAGCCCGAGTCTGCGATCGCATCGATCGGTGGAGAGAGAGCGCGAGCGCTCGATGCGAAACGACAGTCGGAATGCCGCCCATCTCGAGCTGTTTTTGTTATCGCTGTTCTGATGCTCCAGCCGTCAAGCTTCGATTGCATACGCTCGGGAATCATCTGAGCTTGATGTCTCATACAGATAGTGTAGAGGTGGCACTGGATAGCTTCCGAGCTCTAGAGTAGGATGGAACCCTCGTTACCGCTCGACCGTTCGCAATCTCCTCCCTGATGATCGCGATCGCGAATTCCATAGATTCCCCATCAAGGACGAGCGAATGATGCAACCGAAATTCACGGAAGGGATTCGTGTCGAAAGTTTCTATTCAGGGTCCTGATAGGCTTTCGGGGGGGGGCAGTCGTAGACTTAGGGGCAGTCGTACGGGGATTGCCCCGAGAATGGGAATTTGGCGTCAGGCTGAATCAACAGCTAAACGCTACCGGTTACGTGCCCGATCATAATTGACCGGGAAGTTTTTCGATTGACCGAACATTCGAACCGGGAGCTCGGACTGCCTCTCCTGCTCCCGTCCCAGGCTTGCTCGTCGTGCCGAAGCAAATGAAGACCCCCACGGGAAAGGGACCCACAGGAGGGGGACAAGGGCTAACGAAGTCGAGATGGAGAACGGGACCGACCCTACCGATTGTTCTTATGCCATTTCTGCTCTGTCTCTCTCGGAACTATCTAATTAAAGTGATAAAACTTTCGCTTTGGGGATCCCATTCGCTTCACTTCACACGTGTATTCTGCGCTCAGTCAGCGAGTGTTGTAAGCTCCTCCGGAAGATCGGCCTTGGTTGCCGTCCGCACCGGGGATCAGCCTTCTCGTCGACATGCGTGCAACGTGGGGACTTTTGGGACTTGGCCGCTGTCAAATGTCGACGGTAATGATGTCCCTCCACCTTATTTTAGACGCGAGTAGCTCCCGTTGGGATCAGTTCCCAGCTCATAGAAGGGATCACCCCGCTCGTCGTTTTCCTTTTCTGCCACCAATCCTTGGCGCCTCGCTTCATTCACAACTCCCCTATCCGGTTTTCCAATGGGAAATCAGAGCTTCCCATAGTCCGGCCCATGTGTGAGAGGAACGTCTCCTGAAACTTTTGAGTCGCTCCGAATAATTGAGTTCGAAGCGAGATTTCAGCGAGGTCGTACAAGGCATTCTGTTTGCTGAGTTCAAACAGATCGATTGGCATGCGAGTCAAGTCGATCGTTCAGCAGCTTTGCTTCCTGAGTACCTTCTACTGGCTGGCTGGCTTGCTGACTGACTGACTGAAAATAGAATCCGTGAGCGAGCGAAATCGGAGCTAGAACTCTGCGCCGTGCCATCTCCAGGGCGGGCGGAGGTGGGTCGGCGTCGCGAGCTCCATTGCGTCGTCGAGGAGAGGCTTGTTGTCACTCGGGACTTTCGAGTCCGAGGAGATTAATATCACTGTCCATTTAGCGGGAGCACTGGGAGCGGCTTGACGGTACCTACGTTCAGCCGCGTTCCGGGCTCACATGAGCCGTCCCCGAGACAACGCAGCGAAGCGCGACGGACCGAGGGAAAAAAACGATGGGAGCCGGATAGAAACAGCGCGCTCTAAATGGTCCTCAAATAAATCACCGGTGACAGCTACAAGTCTACAATTGTATGACCAGCGAATCACTGAGTGAGACGGCTTCAATCCGCGACCTTTGAGCCCTCCCGACAGAAGGACGGGCTGAAGGATCTCATTGCCGACGAACATAGTATCTACGTAGGTCGCCATGCCCTGTCTCGCTCTCACCGAGCGGCGAGTGGCCCGGTAAGCAGACGGCGCGGCGAGCGAGAATTCGACGATTCATTGATGTAGACTGGCACGCACACACGGGAATATCAGTGCGCGTACAATACCTTCCAGAAAGGCAAATGGCGGGATCCGTCGACGTCCGGCATGTCGGTGGCTCAGCGTGGAAAGAAAGAGTGGCTCTTTGTTTTCACTTTGTATGGAGCGTTGTATTGTCAAAGGCTACGCGTAACCGGTCGAGCGAGTCGGAGCGCCAAAAGCTGAGTCGGCATTAGGGCACAGCTAGACAAGGGCATCACGGAACGAGATCGGGAACGCCCTATTATGAAGTATTAATGGCAGCTCAACCAGCCGGCCGGCCGACGGGCCGGCCTAGGAGCCAACGATCCGACCAGTTCAGCAGTGGAACCGGTGCGAGTGGTCTGGTCGCGCGCTCGTTCGTTCGTTCGTTCGCTATGATTATACTGCGATATGTAACGAGCTCGAATCATCCCAGATGCCGATGGATAGATCATTTTTCTCGAATCCAACCAGACCATATACTTAAAGCATCATCGAACGTCATCACCAAATACATCGCTCGCAGTCCGTCGAACAGAGGAACATCATCCTCGGGACAACGATCGGATGCCTTGAGCCGCACGGCGCGAACCTCGGGCTCAGCGGGAACAAGGAGACTGACCGCGACATGGAAAACATCACAGAGGGAGTTACACCAGCTTCCTTCTGAGGATGGCTGTCACCAATGACGGCGGTAATCGAGACACTCAACGAGATGAAGTCATACCACGTAATGATGTCGTCGATTTGTGTGGCCTCAGCTGAAATACGAACTCACCTCATTCGTGTTCCAGCGATGCCTCTGACTGGGAAGGCTCTCGGCCTTCGTGATGGTCTCCAGACTCTCCGGGAGCACAGGGACGCAAGTCGCTGTCGGTTCTTCGAGTTCTGAAAAAAAATATCATTCTTCTTGAATAGACTGCGCGATGCGCGCCTCGCATCGTGCCGGGGAGGCTCAAGATGACGAGCGACTGGAAACTGGATTTTTCCTCCCTGTTCCCTAGCAATGCCCCAATGGAGTCCAATATTTCCATGGTGTCGTCGTCTCCGACCGGCACTCGCACGCAAATGTTCAAGGACCCACTAACGTGAGCCGAGATATTCATGGTAGTCTCTCGGAGAGCTCGTCGCTCGCACGAATCCGCAATCGAGGTATTTCACTACCTCGAAGTGAAATCTATTATTCCACGAAAGTCCTCGCTCTGACAAGCTGAGAAGTCCGTTAAATTCTCTGGCAGAGAATCAGTGTACCCCCATTTGTGCCCAAGACGCTCCCGGAACCGCCCATCTAGTCGAGACGGACCCGAACGACGATTGCACGTCGTTGAGTACGGCAGCAGCAGAGGTCACGACCTCTGAACAAGAATCTCAAAATACTGGCACTGGTTCTTGGCAAACTAACGTGTCAGTTGTTCTGTCCGTATCGCATTTCCCGGATAAATACCTCGTTGGCGGAGAGATGCTTTTCCGAAGCCTAACCAAACTCCCATCCACCCTTCATGTCGTCGACCGCCTGATTGACCTGAACCGAGGATTTGGCGCTCAGATGCGACTTTCTCGTACCTTCGGACGACTCCGAAGGCACGAACCAGCTCTCTTCGATCCCATCAGGCATCGTCCGACTGGTCAGGCGAGCTTTCTTCAATGCGGTCCGGAGCCGTAATCATAATAAGGAATATCGGTGGGTTGATCAATGCCTTCCGGGTCCCGCAGCGCTTGCACAGGCCGTCCGGGAAGTGCTTGCATGGTGTCTGTAGTCATTCACGGGTCCGAGTGCCCAACCGCAAATTATCCCCTATGCATAAATGCATGGACTGTCATAATGAGCGTGTCATCCTCATCACGACGACGACGGCCGCGGCGGCGTGTGACCAGCGTAGGTGGGTCGAGCCGATCCTCACACCCACGAACGTCTTCCCCGAATTTCGTTTAATCTGAGGGTCGGGCTCACGTAGCCCATCCCTCGCGTGCGCTAATATCAGGCTGGCAACATATCTGACGACTCTGATTTTTTGGTAATCATCCCCTGATATTATTTAATGTAGGATGCGTGTCGAGATCTCATCTTATGAATTTATATATGTATGTATGTATGTATGACCGAGTTTCGTGGGTGATCTAGCAGCGAGCGGTTGTGAGAGCAACATCAACGTAAGCAAAAGTTGCGGCGACGGCGGCTGCAGTAGCAGTAACGGTAGCACCAAGAGCTCATACTCTTACGTTTTGTCTGCACGTTCCTCGTTCTAATTGTTGCGCGACGTGCACGTGCCGGAACGTGCCTCTGAGAACGCTCTCGCAGCGTGTCTAGCTCAAATTTTGTGTTCAACTGCCCTTACAACGACCACACGGCTCCTGTTTTTTTTCTCTCCCTGGGTCAGTGGATCCAACGCCGCTGTTCGAGTGCTCCCTGGATGGAATCTCATCGCTCTTCCGCAAACATCCACATTCCAGAATTTTTCCACCAAGCTCAAATGTCGAGCGTTGGTACACGAGTGAATCATCTAGAACTTCACCGGGCTCCGAAAGGCAGACTGTCTTAAATACTCATGGCACGCAGGGCAGTCTGTTGTTCCTAGGAGCAATCTGATTCTTTCCTCGGGCCGATCGTGAGCCGTCCTACTGAGGCGTTCAGACCCCAGAGCAGACTCAGTCAAGCTTGCACGATATATAAAAAAAATGTGTTCTGTGTTGCCGGAAGACGGCTTCTCCTAATGAACTTTTCTTGCTCCTTCATTTCAGATACGATCACAGCCGACTCGGCACCCTGTGGAACCGGTACAATTGCTCTAAATTTACTGCTCGGGGACCGGAACCTGTAATAGAGGCTGGTGTGGCGAGATAGTGGAGCCAGGGTGAGGCCTATCTCAAGAAGGGAAGCTCGCTACTGCTCGGCCGTTTCAGCGCGATGCTTCTAAACAAAACTATTCTTCTCTCAAAGGACACACACGAGCCCACAGGAAAGACGGCGGCGGCGGCGGCGCGGCGCTCCTACATCGACTACAGCAGCAGCACGACCAACTGCAGCGAAAGCAGCCGCCGCCACCGCCTTCAAGTCGACAACGAAGCTCAAGGTTGTCGGGAACGAGGAGGAGTAGCTCCTCTAACGAGCCCTTGACCATCCGAGCGACACGTGGGAATCGAATTGGGATCTTAGGGCTTAACCTCCAGCGGTGACTTCGTTCATAATCTCTCTCGCCACTAATCGCGAAAACGTTGTGTGACCTAGATCGCCTTAATTATTATCAGACGCACATTAAATTTGTTTGGCAACAGCACACGAAGAGACAACGAGCGACGTCGGGTAGGACTCGTGGCTTGCACCGGGGCTCGGAGCGTCCCGAAACACAATCGGGACGCGGGGAGACCATCGGCTCGTTTGCGACCCTCCCGATTCCGTGATGGCTTCTGCATGGTCTTTATGGCTTCACAACGCCGTGCTCTCAGGAATCCCTGTCGCGAGCGGCACACCGCACGACTGTCTACTAGGCCATCGGTTGCACCACGGCTGGTGTACGCAGCATGCCCCGAGATTACGGGCACGTACCTCGAATTCGAGTGATTAGGGATTTTCCCGCGGTATATCCGAGCGATTGTGTCGGGCCTACAGGAGAGCCACTGCGCTTCCGTCAGGATACTCACTCGGACATTGGAACCTTGTTTAGCCGCTGCCGCAAGGGCCCAGCCTATCCCAACAACAGCTGGACGATTTAGTGATCAATTTGTGAGAGGAGGAAACAAGAAAGGAGACACCGCACTCTTACCGAACAACAGACGTACTCGTAATTGGAGAAGACGTACCGAAAACCAAGTTTTTCTAATCTGAGATGATGCTTGCTTGTCTCGGTACCGCTGATTCGCTCGCCTTCCCCGGAAGAGTCATGGCTGCTGCACGTAAAAATAACGAGAAACAGAACGAAGTCATGATTATTTCGTGCGGGGGACAGCATGAAGGATCTTGGTTTTGAGCTCCGAATAATCAGCTTAGGCTGAACGATTCAGAGGCTGTATATATCAGTGAGCTCGTACGATCGCTTTCTCAATCGACGACAAGCGGGTCGCTCAGACCAGGGTTCGGAGAAGTCACTCTTGGACTCGAGAACAAGACGCCTCCTCGGTCCACAACAAAGTGGGGAGGACCTCCGGAACGGAGCTCGGAAGAGACACGGAGGGAATGAGAATAAACAACGGGGTGCGAGCTATCGAATCGTCGGCATGCGCTACCGAGAATGCGCGTCGACTGACGTCATCCATCCGTCACCATCACGGATGCCGCGCACGCGTGATTGGTCGTCAGCCGCCCGAGAGTATGAACATCCATGCATACTTGCCCGAGCAACACACATACCGTACATATGTACCCCGAACGGCGAAGATTCCCAGATTCCCAGACCGGATTCCCACATCATCCGTCAGTCGCCAACGGCCTGACAGTGTCCATTTGCATCGAAACTCTGGTCGAAGCAAGGACTCCCAGATACGGAGCCTCCGGCTCCGGAATCTATGGAAGGAGCGAACTCCCGCGATGCGGTACAGCAGGAAAAATCTGAGCGGATCGCAACGGCGGGGAGACCTAGAGGGTTGGTAGGTATTTGACTCCAGCGGGTTCATTTGCGCATGGATCTCTCTTTTTTTTTCTCAGAGTCTCTCTCGAGCACCGGCACGCCCGTCCGCCCGAGACTTCGTAGCAACGGCGTTTTCATGGCCGTCCGCCCGTCCGTCCGTCGGGGTTTGCTCCGAACGAGCGCGCCGCCAGCCAAGAGTTGGAGGAAGCGAGCGCCCCGTGATGACAAATTGAAGTGAACGAGCGAAGCCTGATGAACGGATTGATGTTGAGCGTTCCATCCAGTTTGTTCGCATGACTTCCCTCCACGGAACGCACTGTCTCCCGTTGTCAGTCCGTGCTCATCGCTGACTTCATCAGCTACAGCAGCGGTTCCTTGATCATTTCCGCCGTGATCGTCGCGATAGTCATCCGATTTTTGAAGCGAGGCTCGCCTCCGTCTCAAAAGTTCGAACATTCCCTCGAGCACCTTGATCGACACGCACGAGTGCCATGGCCGCAGTAGCGTCGATGCTCCGATGAGAGCCAAAGTCTCCAAGCTTGAGAAAGCAGGGAATGAAGTAGCGCGGGGGACAGAATTGCGCCTTGTTCACATTGTTTGCTCAGGGCGACTGGAGTTGACGCTGTCCGACTAACGGCGGAGTGTCTCCGACAACATGTGACTCCTTCAAAGTTCAACGAGCGCCGCACCGGCCGCAGCGGCAAAAATTGTATGGGGTGCTCGAGGCCTGTTAGAGCTCTGACACCGCAGTTTCGTAGTCGATTAGAGGCGGAATGAAATGAAGAAAGAAAAACATCGAAACCCTCGAGGGCAGTTAGAGTCGTTCCTCCAGTCGATCGACATTCTCCACACCTCCGCTAATATGTTCACGATTCCGGCTTCCCGTCTGACGAGGGAAACCTCTGGGGAGGAATCTGAGTCAGCCAACAAGTCACTTCTGGCAGGAATAGAAATCATACGCCGCCATTCAGTCCAGAGAGGTGAAGCTGCTGTCGGAGCTTCCGACCAGCAGGATTTCGGGTGGGTAGAGTCGTCGACGGTTACCGTCTACCCACGCCAACCACTACGGTAGCCGAGATAATCATCGAATGCAACTTGTAGGGAAACTGCGCGGTGGTAGTGATTCAGAGCCGGCTCCACACCGCAACCTCAGAAGTATCGTGTCGAATTCTTCCCCAGATCATATGAGGCGCCTTCTCCTATCCCAAATGCTTCCCAATCGTGTCCACGCTTTGAATCTTGTTCGTGGAGGTGAGCCTGGGTGCGATGGGCGATGAGGAGAAAGCTCGAAAATATTTTTCCTCCAAGTTCTTTCTCCCTTCCGTTGTGCCTCATTGCAGAACTTGGAAACTTCCACTCACTAAGAGTAAACCCACCGATGAGTAGGTCAGATGAGTTGCCTCAAGCGCGGGTTGAATCTCGAGTCGCGAGTAGACGCCGAAAAGATTCCTACGACACTTGTATCGTTCGGCACTCGTCCTTAGTTCACGTACGTCGCACGTTGCTCGGAGGCTAATTATAAGCACCTATACATATACATTGGGAATATCCTCCATTTTTAATGAGAGAAGATCAAGCTGGGATCGCATATGGGTCGAACATTCGAATGCTATCGTGGGCAGACGAGGGAAGCAGCTCACGAGCAGACCCGTTGAGGAAGACATCGAGCCAACGAGTGAACGACGGGGCTCGAAAACGACGACGGCCGCTTGCAACGAGACTTTCGAACACTTGGCGGAGAAAGAGGTGATCAGAAGGACTTACAGAGGCCAATAGAGGAAAAAAGGGAAAGCCGTGGCTCGGACGCTCAGACTTCGACATGAGCCCCATAGGGGACAATGCGACTATTTCCCGAAAGTAGCAAAAACCCTTGTCCCACTGACGGAAAATACTGGTTCGTTCGCTCGCCCTCCCGCTTGCGACCTCCTCGGTCGACGCACGGAGGGAGCAAAGGTCGAGTAAGACGGAATGCAATGAGGAAGACGTCTCTCCGCTTGTCATCTCGCCAGCGACCGGCCCGGCTCCTCTCCGCCTAAGCAAAGATCCGGTTTGT